AGCGGGTGTCACGAACCGACACATAGAATTAGGGGATCGGGTGTCACGAACCAACAAGTAGAATTAGGGGATCTGGTGTCACGAACCGACACGTAGAATTAGGGGATCGGGTGTCACGAACCGACACGTAGAATTAGGGGATCGGGTGTCACGAATCGACACGTAAAATTAGGGGATCGGGTGTCACGAACCGACACATAGAATTAGGGGATCGGAGTGTCACGTTTCGACACATAGTAGTAGGGGAGCGGAGTGTCACGTGCTGACACAAGAGGAATAAAGATAATGAATCTTGAAATTATTTTAATAAATTCGAATGAAAAGAACCTATTTCCCAAATGAGTATGATATGGAGGCTTGAGTCCTCATGAGTGTACTTGACGTTATTTATCAAAGATTCTTGTACATGTTGTTGCTACAAATTGAGTATTGTAGTTGATTTATGATATGATCTGATATATACTATTTTCTATTTTGAGTTGGCCGATGATACTTACTCAATACTTGTTCCTTGTACTGGCCCCTACTTGTATTTGTTTTTCTTGATTTATTTGGGGAGTGCAGCAAACGTGCCGTCGTCTTCAACTCAACCGCAACTCTAGCCAGTCTTCATTACACCGGATTTCAGGGTGATTTAATGCTTCTAGCTTGGACTGGGTCTTCCTCTTCATGTCTTGATGCCTTGAACTTCCGGCATGGACTATCTTTTTACTTATTTTAGCTTCTTTGATACTCTTAGATTAGTAATTTGAGGATAGATGTTCTTGTGATGATGACTTCCAGATTTTGGGTTTAATAATAAGGGTTTGAGTTTTAGAAGTTATTAATATATTTCTATTAATGAGTTTTTAGTCTTCCGCATTGTATTTTGTTCATTATGTTTGAAATGATGGGGTTTAGATTGGTTGGTTCGCTCACATAAGAGGCTAAGTGTGGGTGCCACTCACGACGCGATTTGGGTTGTGACAAACTTGGTATCAGAGCATTAGGTTTGTTGGTCTCATCACACAAGAACGAGTCTAGTAGAGTCTTAAGGAACGGTAGGGGGACGCCTTTACTTTTCTTTGAGAGGCTATAAGACTCTAGGAAAATTCCATTCTTTCTTTCTTTCTTTCATGCTATTACTTGGATCCAATTGGTATCTAGGTGATACAAATTGGTATCTGACCATCGTCACTCTATTTCGCAGATGGTTAGAACTAGAGCAACGACTGCGCCAACACCAACATCGGCAAGACAAGAAGCGTCTGAGCCAACCACTGGGGCTGTAGCTCGAAGAGGAGTAGTGGCAAGAGGCCGTGGAAGGGGTCGCGGGAGGACGTCCTCTAGAGGAAGAGGACAAGCACCTAGCCCATCTTGTAATAGGGCGGTGACTCCTCCACCGGCTGAGGAAGTAGTAAGAGAGGGGGAGGATGGGGAAAATAAGCAAGTACAGAATGAGGAATTACCACCCCAACCTAACCCAGAGATGATCAATCAGGTTCTTGCTTATCTTAGCGGGTTATCTGATCAAGGACAGACACCTCCAGTGTTTTCTGCACCAGCACCTCAGCTTCCGGAGGTACAACATGCGGCTACTGTGGCTCCCCGCATGGATGCCTCATCGGAAATAGGCACGTTTCCTCGTCTGACTACAGGACCTATAATGACAAATGATCAGCATGAACTTTTCAGTAAGTTCTTGAAATTGAAACCTCCAGTCTTCAAGGGTGCTGAATCTGAGGATGCCTACGATTTTCTGGTTGACTGTCATGAGCTACTACACAAGATGGGTATAGTAGAACGGTTTGGTGTTGAGTTTGTGACTTATCAGTTTCAAGGGAATGCTAAAATGTGGTGGCGGTCACACGTTGAGTGTCAACCAACAGAGGCACCACCTATGACTTGGGCATCATTCTCTAGCTTGTTTATGGAGAAGTATATCCCCCGGACTTTGAGGGATAGGAAAAGAGATGAGTTTTTGAGCCTAGAGCAAGGTAGGATGTCGGTTACTGCATATGAGGCTAAGTTTCGTGCATTATCCTGGTATGCCACCCAACTTTGTTTCAGTCCACAAGAGCGGATTCACGTTTTGTGAAGGGGTTGAGGTCAGAACTGCGGATTTCAGCCTTACAGGTAGCAGCTATGGCAAAATCCTTTCAAGAAGTGGTAGACTTCGTGATAGAGGTAGAAGGAGTGAAGCCAGATGACATCACCATGGCATCGACATCAAAAAGGTTTCGAAAGGGAGTGAGTTTAATGGTTTTTACTCTAGAGGACAGGGTTCAGGAGGTTACTCAGTACGACCAATTCAGTCTTCACTACAGACTGTAGTTGGGGGTCCACCTCAGACCAGTCAACACTTCTCTGAGAGACCTATGCTTGACTCCAGGGAGTGTTATGGATGTGGGGAGACTGAACATATTAGGAGGAATTGTCCAAAACAGAGTTATAGACCCCCAATAGCTAGAGGTAGAGGTTGTCATGGTAGAGGCCGTTATTCTGGAGAACGTGGTGGCCGAGGTAATGGTGGTCACCAAAACGGCCGGGGTAATGGGCAAACTGGAGCCACTACAGCACAACATGGTAGGGGCAACGGGCAGACAAGTGATAGGGCCCATTGTTATGCTTTCCCTGGGAGATCTGAAGCGGAGACATCTGATGCTGTCATCACAGGTAATCTTTTGGTTTGTGATTGCATGGCTTCTGTATTGTTTGATCCTGGATTCACATTTTCTTATGTATCTTCCTCATTTGCTAATGGTCTTAATTTACATTGTGAATTGCTTGACATGCCTATTCGTGTTTCTACTCTGGTGGGTGAGTCTGTGATAGTTGAAAAAGTATATAGGTCTGGTCTGGTGACTTTTGTGGGGAGCAATACTTATGTAGACTTGGTTATCTTAGAAATGGTTGATTTTGATGTAATTCTGGGTATGACTTGGCTTTCTCCGAATTTTGCGATCTTGAATTATAATGCTAAAACTGTGACGTTAGCGAAGCCTGGGACAGATCCGTTAGTATGGGAGGGCGACTACACTTCCACTCCGGTTCGTATCATCTCCTATCTTCGTGCTAAGAAAATAGTTAGTAAGGGGTGTTTAGCTTTCTTGGCACATCTCAGGGATGACACTACACAAGTACCTTCAATCGAGTCGGTTTCGATAGTTCGTGAGTTTCTAGATGTGTTTCCCGCAGACCTCCCTGATATGCCACCGAATAGAGATATTGACTTCTGCATTGATCTTGAACCGGGTACTCGCCCCATTTCTATACCCCCTTATAGAATGGCTCCCGCGGAGTTGAGAGAATTAAAGGCTCAACTTCAAGAATTGTTAGGAAAGGGCTTCATTAGATCAAGTGCATCTCCTTGGGGTGCTCCTGTATTGTTTGTGAAGAAGAAGGATGGAAGCTTTCGGATGTTCATAGACTACAGACAACTGAATAAGGTAACAGTTAAGAACAAGTATCCTCTTCCTCGTATCGATGATTTGTTCGATCAGTTACAAGGTTCTTGTACTTTCTCAAAAATCGACTTGAGATCTGGTTACCATCAATTGAAAATACAGGCAACAGATGTGCCCAAGACTGCCTTTCGGACCAGGTATGGGCATTATGAGTTCTTAGTAATGTCTTTTGGGCTTACGAATGCCCCTGCTGCTTTCATGAGCTTGATGAATGGGATTTTTAAGCCATATCTGGATCTCTTTGTCATCGTATTCATCGATGATATATTGGTATACTCAAAGAGCAAGAAGGAACATGAGGAGAACTTGAGAATTGTATTGGAAATGTTGAGGGAGAAAAAGCTTTATGCCAAATTCTCCAAGTGTGAGTTTTGGCTAGATTCAGTGTCCTTCTTGGGACACGTGGTTTCTAAGGATGGAGTGATGGTGGATCCATCTAAGATTGAAACATTGAGGAATTGGGTAAGACCTACTAATGTGTCAGAAGTAAGGAGCTTTGTTGGTTTAGCTAGCTACTACCGTCGATTTGTCAAGGGGTTCTCTTCTATTGCTTCCCAATTGACAAGCTTGACTAAACAGAATGTTCCATTTGTATGGTCGGACGAGTGTGAAGAAAGCTTTCAGAAGCTCAAGACTTTGTTGACTACTGCACCAATTCTCACCTTGCCCGTGGAAGGTAAGAATTTCATTGTCTATTGTGATGCATCCTATTCAGGTTTGGGTGCAGTACTAATGCAAGAGAAGAATGTAATTGCTTATGCTT